TCACAGTGGGGATAGAGCCTGGGTCTCTCACACCAAAGCCATATTACTGCATTTCAGCAAAAAGCAACACATTACTGTAATTGCGTAACTTTTGTAACGCGTTACTCCCAACAGTGTGTGACCATAACCTTAAAAAACCTTAAGAAATGTTTAACCTCAGCCAAATTTGTGAATTGATGCATGAGGAGGAGGTAAATCCTGGTCACTGATCCAACCAATCACTTTTCAGATTCAGATTAGTAGTAATCAACCAATAAATGATGATGTATAACTATAGATTAAGATACCAGGCAATATATAAAGTACCTGTACACAGTAAAGCATCAATAATTATTATCCTGTGATATTATATTATTCTGAAATGGCGCTGATCTGCACTTTTACTTTATGGTACTTATAGCATATTTTGAAATCAATACTTATGTAGTTTTACCTAAGTAAGGTTTTGAATGCAGGACTTACTTAAGTATTTTTACACTGCGGTATTTATACTTTTATATTAGTTACTACGATAAGTTGCTGGTCTATCTGGTCTGTCTGAGCAGTAAAGTTACAGATACAACACATATTCTCTTGACTGTGTTTCTTAAGTTTGTCTTCAGTTAAAAGAATACCCTAGAGTTATTTCATATTCTGAGTTGTGATGTTTATGAATTACTGAGCTATAACCTGTTTGCAAGTTAATGAATGTTAATCAGTGATGGCTGGTGGCTCAACGTGTCTATCATGTCCTCGTGTTGCTGTCGCTCTCTTCTACTCTGATCCTTACAGGAAACATTAGAGGTTTTATATTCTGTAAAGGAAAACAGTGACACAGAGAGATCAGGAGAGTAAAGTCAGAGAAGACAAAGGAATAATGAATGAATGAGAGAGAGAGTCACGCTGTAAAATGTTAATTAACATAACTCTCTGCTCAGTGATGTATGTGACATCCAAACCATCTTTATCCTGCAGTGCCAGAAATACCAAACAGTAATAAAGACGCTGAAGAATGCTGTATAGGCTACTTGACAGCTGACAGGTAATATATAATCCTAAATAATAGGTCACTCGAGTACGCTCTGGACCTGTGCTGAAGAAAGTCTAAAGGTGACACGTCTTATGTTAAATAACGATGTTTAGATGACTTATGTCACGTGACTTACATAATTCACTTATTTTAACCCAGGGGTCTTTAGTCTCTTTCTGTGTCTAGGTTCAGATGTCACAGCTTTCGCTGTCAGGGCCCCGAGGCTATGGAACGACCTGCTGGAGGAAATAAGGCTCTTCTTTTAAGTCTCTTTTAAAAACGCTCTTTTATCGGACGGCAAATTCAGATTTTATGTGAGCTGCCCGTTTATCTTAAGGTTTTTATGTTAGTTATATTAAGCTATTTATTCTACTTTTATTCCTCTTATAGTTAATCTGTTTTACTTCATTGTGATTGCTTTTTCTTATTCTTATTTTGTATCATGTATTTTATCTTCCATTGTGGTATTTCATGTCCATTTCGGCCTGTGTGTCTTTTGTGAAGCACTTTGTACTTTAGTTTGATAAGTGCTATATAAATGAAGTTATTAATATAATTATAATTATTGTTATTATTGACATAGGTCACTGAATAGAAACCTGACAGCCAGGCACACTTTTTTTCTGCGGCCATAATTTAGAATAACCTTGGTAGATGGAATTAAAAAGGCTTTTATTTCTATTACCATTATTTACTTTCTGACCGGGTCGTCTTCAAGGTGTCATAAAGCATGACATCCAGGGTGCATATAGAGGTCATGAGCTGGGAGTACTGTATCTTCATAACAGTCACCCACCATCATATCTTTTGAGTTTGTTCCAAAACTGCTGAATAAAACATTGAGGTAAGCAGGAAATCCACCATATTTTCTCCTGGTGGGCTTCCTGCGGAGTTCCTCACACACCAGCAGGGAGAGGGAGAGACACACGCCACAATCATAATCATTTTACAGCTCTGTTGCAATAAGAGGTTGATCTTGTTTGAAGGTCCTGCACTCCCACATGGGTGTTTTCAGTTATTCTAAGACCTGATCTCAGGTTGATGTTGGACAGAGCTCTGATGGGAACTGTGGCTGAACTCTCTCTGGCCTGTTATGTAGAGAGAAGAGCAGGAAAAAAATCTGGTGCAGGTTGTAGATGAGGCAGAAGGTATTTGGCTTTAAATCTTTATTAGCTGATAGTTAAACAGCAGCAGATGGAGGATATACTGTGATCTTTTTACTTCAGAGTCACAACAGAACCTTTTCTATTTTGATTCAGCAACAGTAACCATATGAAGTATATGTTAGTGCACGTGATTGTACCTAAATCAATTTACTTATAGACCCTTTTATACAGCCTGTTCAAGGCGGGAATGTTGTGCCGTTTTTCCGGCTTGCTATTCTGTTTAAAAGGTACAAACATGGGGGGACATTGTTTTTCAACCATTAAGTCGGCAGCGGAGAGAGTAACAGAGCCGAATCAACGTGATTGATTCAGCATGGGCGTCATGTTTTGATGACGTGTTATGTGTGTGATCCACCACAGGGGAACAGCAGTTAGCAGCTAACTCAGAGAATAAGAGGAACAAACACGCTGCTCGCACAAATCCATCATTATTCACACCGTGTTATATACGATGCACCGCAACTTTCTTGCATTTGCAGAGTGTCATAAATGTGCACGAGTAGCTAAAGGACCTCAACACTAAGTTCACCCGCCTTTATTATTATTATTTGGAAAGAACTGTGGCTGCACAACACGTTATACGTCACACAAGACACTGACACTCCTGTGTTACACGTTACACCTCTTTTGCTTCCAGAACGCTAGCATGCATCTAAAATCATTGTTTGGTTTAGTGTAAAAAAGGAAAGCCGGAGTAATGATGGGTTTTTACTGCAGTTTTGCGGGATCTCTTTTTAAAAAGGGCTAATAAGGATCAGGACTGGAGAGTAAATCAGGCATAGTCTCTATCAACCATGTAGATCTGAGAAGAGGTCACAATGACTTGTTTTTATTTTATTTTTTTAAAGGTACTTTATTGTCACATACACATGTTGCAAAATTCATACTCTACATTTAACCCATCCCTCAAGGGAGCAGTGGGCAGCCGCTGTGCAGCGCCCAGGGACCAACTCCAGATCTATATCAGTGGTAAATGGCATTGACTGAAAAATCGAACATTTGGGTTTTTTTGATGATGGTGGGAGAAACCGGAGCACCGGGAGGAAACCCACGCAGACACGGGGAGAACATGCTACACTGTACTATCCACTGGACCACAGTGCCGCCTATGCTGCATGTGTAGACAACATGCAGCATAAGAACTTGTATTACACATAACCTCGACCTGAAGTCTAGGTTTGGATGGAGATAAAAAGATTTTTTTGAGTCTAGAGCCAAAGGTAATTTATTTATGTATTAGGTCCTCTGTGTGTTCTCACGCCACATGCACCTACGAGCCTCTGCAATCATGTCATTGCAGCTGCCTTGGCTCGTTGTTGAGAATTGGCTCGTTGGTCTGCCATTCACCTCCAGAGACCAGAAGAACATGCTAAAATCACTTCACAGCCCTGCGCTGTTTCTGGGAGGTTGGTTCATCATCCAAAGAGCCGGATGTGATCAAATACTCGATACACAAGTCTTGTTAGTTTGAAACACCAGTATTTGCCTTAAAAACTCTAAACTGGTCAGAACACCCCCCCCCCCCCCCCCCACACACACACACAGTTTTTTAAACCCTTTATCTCTCTATGTCTCGCTAAGCTGTTTATTTACTCTCATACACAGCCAAAACATGTCTCAACACACACACACACACACAGAAAATCAGCGATGAATGTTTGGCTTTATCCTCTCAGATGGACAAAATAACAGAAACACAACAGAGTGTGGCCATCACTAAGGGTTTCTAGACTTCTCAGCCAGACCGTCACATGTGTATTAATCCAGTCCCAAACAAATGCACGACTTCCTCCTGTTTGAGTAACGTTTAATAAAAACTACAGACCAGCTGTTTTAGGAAAACGGAGAATTTGGATAATGGATTATATTATTTTTTTTAAAACTCTACATTTGTGAGGTGTTTTTAAAGATGTACATCTCCAATAGGAACCAATGAGCGTGGAGCAGAGAAGCACAAACAGGAAGTCAGAAGGTTTGATGGACAGATTACGTAACACATTGTTGGTTTGGGTCTTTCAATGAGAAAAATATTAAATATCAAATATCCTTCAATAACACTTAAGGTAGTGACAACTAACAAATATTGCAAATTATTATATTGATTAAGCGATTCATCGTTTAGTCTGTAAAATGTAAGAAAGCAGTGAAAAACCAAACCACCAACTGTTTCCCAAAGTCAAAGGTGACATCTTGAAATGGGCAGTTTTGTTGGATTAACAGTCCAAAACCAAAACATATTCTGTTTATTATAATGTGAGACACAGAACAGCAGCAAATCATTATATTTGATGAGCTGGAACCAGAGAATCTTTTGTATTTCTGCTTGAAAAATTACGATTATCAAAATAGCTGCCATTAAATCGGTCAGTATACTATTCCATTAATCTTTTTACGCTCTAATAAGAAGTCAGCACTTTCTATCTCTGAGAGTCTAATTCTCCACTACACACACTCTTCAGAGAAGCCTTAAACGCATCAGAACAATAAACCTCCGGAAAATGTTGAGCACAAACCAACCAACAGTTTGGCTGAAACACAAATTTGAAACTATTTTACGCACAGAGATTTGTCTTTTGTGGATGCTAAAGATGACCCCTTAACTTCATTTCTTCAGGAGGGCCAATTCACGGAACCATTAGTTCATCTCTGATTTAAAAGTATATAAACTAAACTTCTGATAACAAGAGCAACAACTGCTGACAGACAAGATGAAGAATTATTGAAAGTATATCGCGTATCACATGTTTGGAGCCAAAACTGTTCCTAAACGCGTCCAGGAAACGAATTTCTCGGTAGCCTACCGACCCCTGGACTGATGTGCCCACCTGCCTCGTGGATGTTCTCCTCGCAGGAGTACCAGATGCCGGTGTGGAAGCGGCGGAAGAGGAAGCGGTCGTCCCCGGTCTCCCAGCTGTAGTGCACCTTGTTCTGGTCCGTCTCGTTGACGCCGTAGTCGATGCAGTTGTGGCGTCGCTGCTTGCTGCAGTTGGGCTTGGGGACGCGCTGTGTGCCCTCGCACCAGTACGTGGTGATGAAGGCGGTGGTGGAGAAGAACAGGGCCACCAGGTTCAGACCCACCGACAACAGCGCGCGACATTTCCGCGTCGTCTTCATTATCTCAATGCGAGCGGCCACGTCCCCGCAGGCTCGGGCAAGTAAGTTCATCCAAGAAGGAAGAAGCAGGAGGCGGTCAGAGGAGGAGGAGAGGCATGGTGCGGCACAGACGCACAGAGAAATTACGCGCGTCTCGCTGCCTCTTTCTCTTCTCTTTGTGCGAGTTTGCCCTCAGAGGGAAGAGAAGTGACAGGTGGTCCGGACTCTCCGAGAGAAGAGAGAAGACCGTAAATCATGAATATCCTCTTCCATCTACTTCAGCATCATATCCGACACCTTCCAGCCTCAAGGACAGAAGACCGTTCACTGTCAGAGACGCTCACTGAAGAAACGTGACCGGAGTCTCTCTCTCTCTCTCTCTCTCTCTCTCTCTGTGTTCCTTGTGCGTCATCACCGTGACCGGACTCTTCTTATTAAAAAGAAAAAAAACTATAAAGTTGCCTATAAGGAGCTACAACAACTCTCTATTTTTATCATTATCGCTGTCGAATCAATAATTGATCATTTGAATGTCAGAAAATACTAATAAGAGCCTGATGAAGATGATTCCAGTCAAAAACCTAAAGATACTCAGACTAATGTCATATATGACAAACAAAAGCAGCAAATGTTCCTTTATGAGAAGCTGGAACAAGTGAATCTGTAACATTTTTACATGAAAAATTATTAAAAAGAAGATTTTAAAGAAATTTATATTGATCAACTACTCAACTAATTGCCTAATCCTTTAAGCTCTGCCCATTTTAATGTTAGAAAATTCTTCAAAGCATATGTATGTACCCCTGAATCAGCAACTAACCTCACTGTGACAGACTATATTCACCAGTTTTCTTTGGGAAATTATAAAAATGTTCATCTCAGTGTTAAAAATCTCTGGCTGCTGTTTGTCCTCCTCTAGTAGGCTATCACACGTGATTGTGTTTTTAGCTGCATTTTAAGTAAACATCAAGAAAAGTGTCTGGTTTATTAGACTAAATTCAAACCAGCATTATCAAACAGATACTTTTCACAGCCTGGCACATTTATAAACCCTTTATAAAGAGTGCTTTATGTAGTGGTACCAAAACCCCTCCATATAATTCATGTTCTTCATTTACCCACAGCCCAGCTTTCAGTCATATCTGTAAAGATCTTTTTTTCTGCTAACCAACTATCGAGACACTGACTAAATCACTTTGGTGGAGGAAAAAGCAAATATTAATCTCCTCAGCTGTCATCTGTTAATGTTTATAGCGTTAAGGTATATTTCAGTTCACACTGCTTTTACAAAACATCTTCAACACAACATGGAGGGGTTGGTTTTCTTTCTATTTGGCACATTGGATACATTATGCACAATACAGGAGTTATTTTGCCTCTACTGGACACTAGCATGTAGCAGGATCTACTCTGGTTTTATGAATGTTTAATAAACAGGAGTAGTCCAACCTACAGGGACAATAGGTTTGTGCTCAAATACACCAATCAAAAGGGGAAACCCCCGTTCACCATGACATACCTGTATATCTTGGAGGACACTTCTCTATTGTTTGTTTTTCCAGGTGTGACGTGCTCAATGAATGTATAGAAATCGGCCAGCCCTCTTATAGATCAGCCAAGGCATGAAAATCACCAGCGACAAGGCCGAGCCGCCCACCGCACAGATCCATCACCTCTCACTTTATGGCTCCCACCTCCAGATCAATGTAGCCTGTGTGTGTGTGTGTGTGTGTGTGTGTGTGTGTGTGTGTGTGATGTATGTTAACTCAGTCTGATTCAGAGTAATTCAAGAGAGTCAATAAACAGAGCAGAAAACGATATGTTGATAAATGTGTGATAATGCTGTTGGATTTATCTGCAGTCAAACTCTGAACTCTTCAGGATATATTTTACTGGATCAGATATTTTTGGAGCATTTTAGTCTTTTTCACAGGCAATTTACTGACGTATGCAGTAGGCACTTTATCTTACTTGTTTAAAGGTAAAGGTTTGCCTGTACCCCTGCCTTTTTGTGCAATATCATTGCGTTTCAGATTTTTTTTTTCTCCAGCTGCCTGACATTCTGGATTGTTATTGTTTCTTTTGTCAGTCAACTTTTTACCTTTAGGATTACCTTGTTTTGCTGGACACTAGTTTGGGATGCTGTTTAATCCGTACATTTTTGTACCCTATGTTTTGTTGTGAATAAATTAGTTAAATTCATCCAGCCGTGTCAAGTTTCTGCACTTGGGTCCTAAAACCTGTTCGCAAGGGCATCCCTTTGTGTTGAAAAGTGGTGGGGACATAAAGGCTCACATTAGGGACAAGTGTGTCAAGAGACTTGACGATGGTCAGAAACAAGATGAGAATATTTTTAACACTATTTTGAAGAAATATGAAATGCAGCTACTTGTTTTTTTTTTTTAGCTTAACCTTAAAGCTGTGGTAGGCAATTTTATGTTTTTACATCCTAACAGTAATCAATGTATCAAACGCTCTGACACAGAAATTAGAAAAATCTGGTATCTGGCTGTCGCAGGACTGCAACAAGCACTGCCAATCATTTCATTCGGACGTTCACGCGTTCAGAATCTACATGTCTGTTGCTAACTTTATGTTACTCACCCCAGCTTTACAGTTTTTTCTGAATGCTTAAGCGCTAATCGTGATTCTTGTAGCACAATTTCTAAAACTATTAATACATATAGCAAAACCACTCACTGAGTTTGCAAAACTAAAAGCACAGACACTGCTTTGCACTCAGTTCGCAATTTTGTAACACACACTTTGCAAAACTGTAGGCACAATTCACCTCACAACACTCTTTTTGCAGAACTTTAAACACAACTCACTGCTTACACTCAATTACCAAATTTCCAACACACTCCTAGCAAAATTATACACATGTATGGCTATCATTAACACTATTTTGCCAACTTTCTGGCACACTTTCACATGTGAAAACTGTTTTAGATAATTAGTTCACTTTGCAATCAGCCTTAGCACTATAAATAAGCCACAGGTAAGCTGTCTGTGTGGGGTACAATGGAAGGAGCAGTAAGAGTGAGAAGAGTGAGAATCAGAGGAGGCCGAGGAGGCCGAGGAGGCCGAGGGAGAGGACGTGGAGGTGAAGAAGCGAGAGGGTTAGAGGAAGTTAGAGGAAGAGGACAAGGAGGAGCAAGAAGAGGACAAGGAGGGGAAAGAGGAAGGCTAAGAAGAGTAAGAAATAGAATAACTGATGACATCAGGGCTACAATAGTGGACCATGTCATCAACCATGGGATGAGCCTGAGGGAAGCTGGCCAACGGGTTCAGCCTAATTTGAGCCGCTACACTGTGGCAAGCATCATTAGGACATTTCGAAATGAGAATCGGTAAGAACTTTGTAGCACTGCCATACTCTAATGAGAAACACAACAGTACCATACATGCAAAAATACTGAATTTGTTACTTTACAGAATTGCTAGACGTCCACATGTTGGGGGCAGAGGAAGAATGTTCACTCCAGAGCAAGAGACCAATATAGTGAACATGGTGATTGCCAATAATGCAATAAGACTGCGCGAAGTACAGCAGCGCATAATTGATAATGACACCATCTTTCAAAATATACACAGTGTAAGCATTTCTGCACTAAGTCGTGTACTTGTGCACCACAGAATAAGAATGAAGCAAATTTACAGAGTTCCTTTCGAGAGAAACACAGAACGTGTAAAGCAACAGCGATATTACTGTGTGCAGGTAAGCTATAGTGTCATTGGTTCTGAATTTGGAAGTGCATACTGTAGTGCTGTGCATGGGCCTGATGTGCTGCATTTGTTTTGTCTTGTCCAGAGAGTGATGGAACTAGAAGCAGATGCCGTGGGACATGAGCTACTTTTTGTAGATGAGGCCGGTTTTAACCTCAGTAAAACCAGGAGACGTGGCAGGAACATTATTGGACACCGTGCCATCATCAATGTCCCAGGACAACGTGGTGGTAACATAACCATGTGTGCAGCTATAAGCCAAAATGGTGTTGTTCACCATCATGCAACCATAGGCCCATACAACACTGCACACATTATTGCATTCCTGGACACCTTACATGACATGCTCACTGTTCAGAGACCAGGGCAGACCCCATATGTCATCATATGGGACAATGTTAGTTTCCATAGGGCTGCTTTGGTCCGCAACTGGTTTACAGACCACCCATTCTTCATGGAACTCAACCTCCCTCCATACTCTCCTTTCTTAAATCCCATCGAGGAGTTCTTCTCTACAGTGTCTTTACATGACACTATGACAAAAGTATGACCTCAAATTGACATCTGTACACAGAGAAATCAAAAGCCAGATTGTTTTGTATTCATACCATCAGTGTGTAGTTGGCACATTGTGTGCTTAGTAGATGATGGCTTGTGTTTACCGTTTGATACGAAAACACCATTTTTACGAAGGTGTGAAGAGTTAATCTAGCTGTGTTCGCTTTTGCAAGAGAACTACAATGTTTTGATAATTGGGTGAAAGGTTTTCTTATTTGTGTGTAGAGTTTTGCAAAAATAGCCAATAGTTACAAAAAATGTGCTTAAGCAATCAGAAAAAACTGTAACCAAGAGCTGTAAGTGTCTTAACTTAACTATAGTATGAAAAAGATGAATCATGCTTTAGTTGATTCAGTGGAAAAATAACTAAATTTTTTAACTTAGAGCGATTACTTTTTTTTATGACTTCAAGATTTCTTTGCTTGTTTACTTCAAATGTACTTGTTCTTGTTTTTGATTGTATTTATCTTCACTTTTAGTTCACAGGTGGATCATTTATTTCATGCATATGACACTTGTAAAAGAGATGTAGTGTGTGTATGGTTTGGCATTATGTGTATGTTCTTGTTGATGACTTTCGTGTTATTTGGATTGTTTAATATTTTATCATTGTTATTTATGCATTTAGTTTTTTTAGTTTGTTTAAGTTCCATATTTTTGTGTATGTGAGGATTTTTAAAAATGAGACCCAAATTAAATTAGAAATAAATAAAATAAACTGTTATCAACATTTAGAGACCTTCATTATGTTCATTAAAAAATAACGTATGAGTGAAATATTCTTGTGTTTAACGCATGTGTTTTCTCACTTCACTACACTATTCTTTGCATCATGGTGTACTTTTGACACGGCCTAAATTTTGTATGTAATGTAAAGTGGTAAATCTTTCCAATTAGAACACAAACTGAACAAAAGATCAAATATGTGTTGATTTCAACAAACACTAAGAATAAAAATATTTTTGTTTGTTTACACTTTTATGCCAGCGTTTTATTTCTTAGATTTTGAACTCCCGAAATAAAGCTGTGAATCACTTTGCCTGTTGAGGATTTAATCCCCTTTCTGGCTTGAAAACACACACACAAATATACACACACCTGCGCACACACACACACACGCACATATATATTTGTTGCTGTGTTGTTGGATAGATGCCCCTGACAAGATTTCCCACTGGATATATGGGACCATCTGTGGGTTCGCCCCAGCTTTGTTTGCCGTCTGAATTAAATCCCAGCACCA